GTACCCCACGAGCTTCGSTGAAACAGAGAACTCTGCTCGGCACCAACGACGCATCCAAGCACCGCCCCAGCACCAAACCAAACCAAACGAAACCCCAAACCCCAAACCACTCCGGGATATTCTACCTACTAGTACAGCAACAAAGGCGACAAAGATGGCAAAAGGCAAGCGGAACGAGTCCGGGGGCAACTCGAACGACTCCCGCTTCTTCACGACGCAGAAGAAGGGWGAGATGCACGAGCTGCGGATGGAACTCCACGCCACGGAAAAGCACGTCAAGGTCGACGCCGTCAAGAAGGTGATCGCCAGCATGACGGTCGGGAAGGACGTGAGCATGCTCTTCACGGACGTCCTCAACTGCGTCCAGACGGGAAACATCGAGCTAAAGAAGCTCGTCTACCTCTACCTGATCAACTACGCCAAGACCCAGCCCGAGCTGACCCTCCTGGCCGTGAACACCTTCGTGAAGGACTCGAGCGACGCCAACCCCCTGATCCGGGCCCTCGCCGTCCGCACCATGGGCTGCATCCGCGTCGACCGCATCACGGAGTACCTCTGCGAGCCCCTCCGCAAGGCCCTCCGGGACGACGACCCCTACGTCCGCAAGACCGCCGCCGTCTGCGTTGCGAAGCTCTACGACATTGCCCCCGAGATGGTCATCGAGCGGGGCTTCCTCGACACCCTGCACGAYCTCATCTCGGACAGCAACCCCTCCGTCGTGGCCAACGCGGTGGCCGCCCTCTCGGAAATTGCAGAGGCCTCGGGCCGTGACGTCATGAAGGTCTCGGCGGCCGTCCTCCAGAAGCTCCTGGCGGCCCTCAACGAGTGCACCGAGTGGGGACAGGTCTTCATCCTGGACTCCCTGGCCAAGTACACCCCGGCCGACGGGAGGGAGGCAGAGGGCATCATCGAGCGGGTCACCCCCAGGCTCCAGCACGCCAACTCGGCGGTGGTCATGAGCGCCGTCAAGGTCATCCTCTCCTACATGGAGCTCATGGGAGGGGGCGCCAACATCCGGAGCGACGCCATCCGGGCCCTCACGCGCAAGCTGGCACCGCCCCTGGTCACCCTCCTCAACTCGGAGCCGGAAATCCAGTACGTCGCCCTCCGCAACATCAACCTCATCGTGCAGAAGCGGCCCCACATCCTCGAGAACGAGATCAAGGTCTTCTTCTGCAAGTACAACGACCCCATCTACGTCAAGATGGAGAAGCTTGAGATCATCATCAAGCTCGTCACGGAAAAGAACATCGACCAGGTCCTCCTGGAACTGAAGGAGTACTCGACGGAGGTCGACGTCGACTTTGTCCGCAAGTCCGTCTCGGCCATTGGCCGCTGCGCCGTCAAGCTCGAGCGTGCGGCCGAGCGCTGCATTGGAGTCCTCCTGGAACTCATCCAGACCAAGGTCAACTACGTGGTCCAGGAGTCGGTCATTGTCATCAAGGACATCTTCCGGCGGTACCCCAACCGCTACGAGTCGATCATCGCCACGCTCTGCGACAACCTCGATACCCTCGACGAGCCCCTGGCCAAGGCCTCGATGATCTGGATCATCGGGGAGTACGCGGAGCGCATCGACAACGCCGACGAGCTCCTCGACACCTTCTTGGAGACCTTCGAGGAGGAAGACCCGGCCGTACAGCTACAGCTGCTAACGGCGACCGTCAAGTGCTTTCTCAAGAACCCCGAGGACACCCAGGACATGGTCCAGCGGGTCCTGGACCTGGCCACGGAGGAGTCGGACAACCCGGACCTCCGCGACCGTGGTTTCATCTACTGGCGCCTTCTCTCCACCGATCCCGAGGCCGCCAAGATGGTCGTTCTTGGGGACAAGCCCGTCATCGAGGACGACACTTTCCGCCTCGATCCGGGCCTCCTCAACGTCCTTATCGGACAGATCGCCACCCTCAGCAGTGTCTACCACAAGCCACCGGAGGCCTTTGTGGTCCGCCGGGCGGCCGGGGTCATCGACCACGGAGACGACCAGGGGGAGGACGACGACGAGGGCGACTACGGGGGCGCCGCCGAGAACGACGGCGTCGGAGACCTCCTCGACATGGGGGGCATGTCCCTTGGAGGCGGGGGCAAGGCCGCGGGCCCGGCGGGATCGAGTGTAAGTACCAGAGTATACTAGGAGTTGACTCGCGCTGTGCATTGTTGCATTGTTGCATTGTGGACTGCGGGTTTGTGGCGAGTTTCTGTTCCGGAAAGACACCGACACTGCCTCACGCGCCTCTTGTCGCTTTTGCCACTTGCTCTTTGCTCTTGACTTTCTTTTTCTCGTTGCCAACAGTACGAAACAAAGGCTCCCATGAACAAGGTGTGCGGAGCCGAAAAATCCGGCGGCATTGAGATTTCTGCCGGTTTCCGCCAGGTGAACGGRACCATTACCATGGAGATGCAGATAGAAAACGTCAGTTCTCCATCCGAAGTGAAGGCGCTGGCCATCCAACTCAACAAGAACGCCTTTGGGTTGAGCCCGGCCACCCAACAGATCATCTGCAACCCACCGATCGCTACCGGGCAAACAGGAACTGCCACCGTCGAGCTGGTGGTCACTCCCAACATGGTGGCTCCGCCTCAGCCGGGACAACCCGCGTCGCCCATGGTACAGGTCGCAATCAAGAACATGCAAACGGGAACCGTCTTTTACTTTGCCGTCAACTGCAACCTGGAAGCCCTCTTCACGGAGTCGACCATGGAACGATCGGCCTTTATAGAATCCTGGAAGTCCATCGACGACCAGAACGAGCTCTACGGAACGGTCGGAGATCTCCCCCCTTCCAGCACGGACATCGACAAGGTCATCAACTGGTTCAAGGCCAACAAGATGTTCTTTGTGGCCCGCCGGCCGGTTCCCAACGCCGAAGGCCAGGAGGTCGTCTACTTTTTCTCGCGCACCGTGGCGCAGATGGACTTCCTCGTCGAGCTCACCTTCAAGCAGGGCGTCACGGCCTGCAAGATATGCCTCAAGACCGAGAGCTCCTCCTACGGCCTCCTCGCCAAGCAGGCCGTCGAATCGATGCTCCGGTCCAACCCGCAGTAGTTACAAAACCTTTGGTGCCCTGCGCCGGCGCTCGTGCGCATTACTGTACTAGCATTCTGTGAAACCAACGATTGGTGGGTCTGTGCGTGCGTGTATTTTTGCGGTTTGTAGTTTCGGCAAAACCGTGTTGTTTGGGAATGGGTTGCTTCCTTTGTTGTTGAGCTTGACTCTGAATGCTTTTATGGAAGCATTCTGCTACTACTAGTGTCTGACAGGACGAGATTTAGTGCTGGTAGAAGCATTTCCAAAACAACATCCTCGTACTACTAGTAGCTCCTMCTCCTCGTACATAGATAGTAGTCGATAAACTACTGCTACTACTAGTTGTAGTAGGACATGCTGGAACTTTATATTGCAACTTCATTTCAACACGTTCTCAAGTTGTTGTTGTTATTGTTGTAATATAACTAGAACTAGTACGGTAGTACTTCTAATGGTATGTACTTCAGCGTATTTTTACTTCGTACTAGTACTAGCCAGTCGATATTATGATATTGCTAATACTAGGGTTAGGGTGAAACAGCGTCGATCCGGGCAGCCTCAAAACGGTGCTGTTGCACATACGTACGCAGGTACGAGTACGGGTACGCATTGACACCGGTATGGATTTTATTGGTAACTGGTGTCAAGTCAGCAAGCAGATGCGGCTGTACGGTAGCAACCGAAACTTGGCAACAGCACGTCCCGAGCACGAGCAACAGGCTAGAGTGCTACTACGGTACCGATCCATCTTCCCGAATGCAATTCGCTGCCCCAAAACGCGTCTCTGGAAACAAAACGCCAACCATCGACCCAAGGACCACACAAGCACCGTACTATTTCAACTCTCGATTGCATTCTTCCRCCATGAAATCGGTTTCTTCCTTCTCCCTCTTCGCGTTCCTCGTCGGAGCAGCCTTCCTTTGTTCGAGCTGCGCYGCCTTTGGAGTGGCGAACAGCAACACCCACAAGCCGCTGGCARAAACCGGGGAATTGTCGCGGAAAACCTTCTTCTCGTCCGCCGCCAAAGCGATGGGTGCCGCGGTCTTGGTCGCCGCTCCGGGGGCTGCCCTCGCCGACGAGGACTACGTCAAGGGTTCCAAGAACGATCCGGCCGTCCAGGCCAAGCTCAGCGTGTGCATGTACGAATGCACCAAGCCCAAGGGGAACGAGCAAAAGTCGCGGTCGGAATGCCTGAAGGAGTGCAAGGCCGAGTGCATCACGGCAAAGGCAACCGCCCAATAAGTGCACTCCCAGAGATCGAATACCAATCCTATTTTTTTAAAATAATACCAACGCTAAATCACACAATCGAGGCAATAGAAACGCAGTCCAGGAAACGAGAAAGAAAATGCGAGTTGGCATTCCTGCATGCAACGACTTTTAACAATCAACAGACCTAAAAAAACCAAGAATTTTCGCATGAGATTAGTTGTATTTTAGTTGTTTCGGTTGTTCCAAGTAGCCCGTCAGGCAGTTGTAGTTCATCAATATCGTGCGGACGCTTGGTGGAACAACAGAAATCCCATGGATATGTTTGTTGCAATGCTCTATCAGCACAGCTATCTATCTTGACATAGATTAACGTGCTGTGCTTTGTGCTTTGTGCTTTGTGTTTTGTATACATTTAGAAGATCCATTCAGATCGGATCACGAAGCACTCTCGGTAGACTAGGATTCTTTGTTGATAGGCACGTCAAATCGTTCTACTCCACCATCCCTCTCCATTTGCTCCTCCCAAACATGGGTGGCTATAGGCTTGAACCGCTCGGCGAGCGGACTGCTCTGTGGGCTGAGGTGCTCTTGTTCTTCTTCATAGCAATCCGATGAACAACCCAAAAGCGATCGCTACAAGCATGGCGGGAACCTGCGACACCAGAGTCGATTGGGTGGACTGGGATGGGATGGGATGGAAATGGAATCGGAGTGCCCCATCTTTTTGCTTCGGTCGGACAGCTGTAACCCTGCGCTGCAAGCGGAAGGATGTGCGGATGGGCACCATCTTGCCAAGACAACCACACAGAGAGGTTTGTCGTGCAGTGTGGATCCCGCCGTAGCATTCCACGTCGCTCCGTTTCGTGCCCCGCCCCGAACCTTGGTGTGTTGCGGTCGGCAATGCAACCGCACGGGTCCGGGGATTCCTTCCGTAGTCCGTGCCGTGCGTCCATCGAAAAGCCCGATTCAATCGCCGGTCTCTCCGTCCGTCTTTCTCCTGTTCCGGTCGTTCAGCTCCCTGAGCTTGGCAATGCTTTCGGAGAGGACACGGTCCGGGTCGAGAGCCCCCGCGTGGTTGTCGCTGCTGCTCCGATCTGCGTCCGAGGGATCGCCGGCGGGCGTTTGCTGGTGCTCTTCCGACCGGCCCTGGGAGCTTTCGGTTTCGGCTGCCGCGCTGCCGTCGCGTTTGCTGTTGCCCTTGTGCTGCCACGAGAATTCCTTTCGGATTTTCTTGTTCTGGTCCATTTGTATTTTCTTTTCCAGGAGCGTCAGGCGAAGGTCTTCCAGCTCTGCCAGATTTCCCGCCTCGTCTCCGATCAGGCCCCCGCTTCGAGCGTACGGGTTGTCCTTTGCGGCAGCAAGCTCCGCGAGGTCTGCCCCGTCCGTTAGTCCGAGGGATTTTTCCTTCAGCGCGTGCTGGCGGACCCTCACCAGCCGGATGCCGTCTTCGATGTCACCATAGGATCGCGGTTCGTTGTCGTCGTCAGTTTTGATGCTGCCGCCGTTCTTGCCGTAGCCGTGGCCAGTGTCGCTGCTGCCCTGGTGGTTGCTTTGTTCGTTGTTGCTGTCGTTGGCGCCGAAAGCCGTGGCATACGCATCGACCCCGTTTGTGTGTCCCAAAGTATTGTTTTGAAAGTGGCTTCCGTGCTCCCCCACTGCCCCCATGGCTGTCCCCGGATCGATCGAGGACAGCTCCCACGAAAGCACCCCGACGACGAGCAGCACCCAGACCAGGAGGACCACCAGCAGCCTCGCCAYGGTCYGGATCGAGACCCCCCCGCTTCCCCTGCTCTCGCGGCCCCGTTCGCTKCCCTCGCCGTCCCCCCAGAAAAAGACGAGGAACCACCACCAGCGGCTTGGGCGGCGGTGGATCCCTGGCCCGGCCTCGCCCCTCCGCCCGCGACGGCGGTGCCGAAAGAGCGACAGGGCCTGCGGCTGTCCCGCGCGCTCCCTCGGGACGACCGTTTGCTGGCCCTCCATCGAGAAGAGCGACCCGCTKCTGGCAACGGTCTGTAGCGAACCGCAACAGTCGGTTCCGTGGCATTCCCGGATCTTCTGCAGCTGGGACCACCGCTTGAAGTGCTTGTCGCTGTGCTGCCTTGCGAGGTGGGGTTTTCCGTTGCTTTTTCTCGGCGGAATCTTTCTGGGAAGGCATTGGCTGTTGTAGCTGCCGCCGTGCGTTTTGGCCTTGCCACTCGCGGGGCTCTCGGCGAAGGAGCCCCCGGCTCCGGAAAGGGATATCATGGCACGGATGACACGGATGGCACACCACACAACGCCCGGGTCCGCAACACGCCAAACAAACACGACTAGCTAACCGTTTTCCCGACGCCCTTTCGTGCTCTCGATCTTTCTCCCCCTCTCTGTGTGTGTCTCTGCTGGGTTCCTCTACGGCATCTTGCTGTCTTTCGCGCCCGACTGCCCCTCGATAGATCGCTAGCTGCCATGGGACATGTCAGAAGATTGTTGGTACGAGTATTTCAAAATTGATATTTCACGAGTGTTCTTCAATTCAGAGATTCACGAGATTTAAGGTTTCTGTTAGCGGTACCAAATCTCATAAGTAAAGGCGATACAAAAATATCGATCGCAATTTTTTGATTTGATCAGCTCTTTGAATACAGTAATACAGTAACGCGAGGCCGTCGGTCTAGCAATCAACAGTAGCAGTAACACGGCAGGGGTACGTACCGTATCGTATGGACGTCTATGGACTACGTACGGTACGTACTGACGATTTCCCGAACCGTACCAAACAAGTTCGGCAGTGTGTTCTCGTGCTATTCGTACGTTGTACCCAAGTACCCTGTGGTTGTACGTGTAAGACAGATGCTCTATTTTTCAAAACAAGCAAGCAGCCCGCGCAACAAAAATCAACCTTCGTATTTTCGGAACCAAGCGGGGGTACGAGTACTACCGGTAAACCCAATCGGTGTTCAACGTTCAACAAAATCATCGGTCATCCGTTGCAAAATTACGCAGGGGCTATACTCACCGTCACCGTTCTTCTTTCGAAGACTACATGGCCCAATGGCACAATGGTTATCGCAYCCAGGCGAAGTGGTCATCATCATTTTTTCAAAGGCATGCCCCCCACCTTYCATTGTTACCTTCAGTCACGTTATTTCACGTCACAATTGGTCTTGAGTACGTTCTGTATCATACTGTAAAGAGCTGTAGTAGCGTACGGTAGTAGATGTACTGTACAACCTACATACGAGCCGGGCGTAAGGTACGTACACCATGGTACTCACTGCACTGCTCAAGAGCCTACCGTATCGTACCAAGCGAAGCCAACTCGTTTTGTGAGAGGAGTACGTTGCCTATCGCAATGTACCGTACAAGTACCGTACTTTACCGAAAGTCGATGCTCAGTGCTCCCACGGTTTCTGAGAGTTTCGTACCGGTACAATAACAGAACGACTAAATAGAATAGACCCCTCAGACGTTTCGTTCGACAATAAGTCGCTCTGTTTTGGTCGTGCGGTTATCTGTAAGAAACGAGTCCTTCCGTCCAWAGTTCGAGCAAACTCGCCATCGCTGATAGAACGCACCTCTCGGATCGACAGCAGAGGCCACAGCAAACGCAAACGCAAACGCAAACGCAAACGCGAGCAAGAATACAATACAACMCAATACCGCACGGTACAAAACAAACAACATGAGCAACAAAGGCATTGGCGGCTGGTTGTCCGGCATCGGGAAGGGCATCCAGTCTACGCACGAACGGATGCTCGCCGACAAACAGGCCAAGGACGAAGGGAAGATCTGGGACCGCAAGAAGAAAGAATGGGTCTTTTACTACCTGGACACGGAATGGGAAGAAATCGAGGAGAAGGAAAAGCTTCAGAAGCAAAAAGAATCGGGCGAGACCGATTCCGGCGGCAGCGGCCCGGAACGAAACGTGAAGGACCGAGAGTACTACGACCTGCTGGGGGTCAGCACGAACGCCACCCCGGCCGAGATCAAAAAATCCTACTACAAAAAAGCCCGCATCGTCCACCCCGACAAGAATCCGGGCGATCCCGAGGCCGCCAACAAGTTCCAGCAGCTCGGGCACGCCTACAACATCCTCAGCAACGAGCAGTCGAGGGCGAACTACGACAAGAACGGAAAGGCCGAGACGACCGCGGAAGAGGAACAGGCAAGCGACGTCGACGCCACGGTCTTTTTCAACGTCATGTTCGGTAGCATGCTGGTGGAACCCTACATCGGGGAACTCTGGATCGCTCACACCGCGGACGGGATGCTCAAGGACGGGGGCAAGGGCGGCCTAGAGCTCGACGACATGACGCAGGAGGAACTCGAACAGCTCCCGGAAGAAGAGCGCGCAAAGGTTCTCAAGGAACGCGAAAGAATCATGGACGAAAAACTCACCGCCATGAGGGAAGAGAACGAGCTGGCGATGGCCAAGCGACAGGTGACCTGCGCCAAGTTTCTGAGGGAACGCGTCGCTTCTTACTACAACTCGATCCGCGCCCTGGACCAGAGCGGTTCCGAGGGCACCACCGAGCAGCAGCGAGCCGCCGAAAAGAAAGGCGTCAAGAAGGACTTTGTCGAGGAATGCGAAAAGGAGGCCTTAAATATTGCCAGCGGAGCCCAGGGCGACTGGTACCTCAACATCATTGGCTTCTCCCTGGAGATCAACGCCGATCTCTACCTGGGCTTCGAGCGGTCCTTTTTGGGACTGGGAGGTCACTTCGCAAGAACCAGGGCCAATGCCAGCGGCCTGAATACCAACATGGGACTCCTGGGTGCGGGACTCCGGGCCGTCGGCGCCGGGGTCCGAACCATGCAGACGGCAGAAACGATACAGAAGGATCTCGAGAAGGCGGCCGGTGAAGCATCCGGGGCCGAAACCGAAGGAGCTAGCGACAACGTGGCCGCYACCGGCGAAGACGGCGGGAAGACCAAGCTCACCGAGCTGTCGGAGGAGGACCAGATGAAACTGGCCATGGAAATGCAGGACGCGATGGACGATTCCCTGCCCACGTTTTTGGAATTCGCCCAGGCCATCAACAAGCGCGACATCCAAACGACCATCAAGGGCGTCTGCAAGAAACTCTTTGACGACGCCTCAGTTCCGAAGGAATCCCGGGTGATCCGTGCCGAGGCCGTCCGGATCCTGGGCAAGACCTTCCAGAGGGTGGCCGCGAGGAAGGTCAATCCCGATAGCAATGCCAAGATGAGCGCCGACGACATCAAGCTCAAGATGAACGTGGCGGCGATGGCGACCATGGCCAAGGCCCAGGGACAGGAACTGTCCGCCGACGACCAGGAAGAGCTGATGAAGCAAGCCAAGGAAGCGATGGAACAGCAACAGCAGCAAGGCACCGCGGCCACGGGACCCACCGATGGCACGTAACGCGAATCACAACAGCCCCACCCACTCCGATTGTTTGTGTTTTGGTTTCGTCCGATTGATTCGGTTTGGTTTGGTTTGGTTTGGTTTGGTTTAGTATTTCTTTGCCGTTTTTCGATAAGTAGCACTACATGACAATAAGAATAGAAATATACCGGTTTTACAAATCGTTTGATCCATTTTGCAAGCTATAGCCGCTAGCGAAATCATGTCCGTCCAAATGCAATTTTGAAGGGACGGCACACGCGCTGAGTTGATGATGTGAAGAAAGAATCGTCCGCAGGAGTGTGATGCGTACCGTACTATTACTAAAATATTGGATCATGAGATTCGTCCTGGGAAACCATTTTTCGCCGTCGATGGATCCCATCGCCGAGGAGGAACTACTATTCGCCGCCATAGCAATCTTGACTGCGAGGTTGATACACACGGATTGGAAAGAGGTTAGGAGGCAGCAACATACATAAACTGAAGCCGGTGCCATTCGCCTGCCCTTGTGGAGGCGGTCTGTGGCGGACGCCATTGCATTTCACTTTCCACGCGTCGCGGTAAGAAACGAAGACCGTTCTAGTTCCATACTGCACGCACGGGTAAACGATCACTATTCAATATTGCTCTAGTAAAAACTATTTAATTTGCAAGACATTCTAAATCATTCTATACTATGAAATTGTGATCGGCCCTAATCTGAAACCAAATTTGTCTCAGAGAAGAACTCTTGAACCACAAACAAAAAGTTTTGAATACAACCCATAACAGAGTATGGGAACAGTATGATCTTTAAGTTCATCCATTTAGTCTGATAAATGTGTTTTGGGGGAGACCGTTGATTCGGATGGTGTCGCTGGTTTCTCTATGGCTCTGTGGACGCGTCGTCGTCGTCGCTATCGCTATCGCTATTGCTGGCGTCAGCGCCACCACTCTTACTGCTATTGTCACTGCCGCTATCGCTGCCATCGTCACTGCCATCGGCGCTGCCATCATTGGTGCCATCATTGGTGCCATCGTCGCTGCCATCGGCGCTGCCATCGTCGCTGCTATTGCCACTACTATTGTTGCTGTCACTGTTGCTGTCACTGTCACTGCCATCGTCACTGCCGTTGTTGCTGCCATCATTGCCGCCATCGTTGCTGCCATTGTCGCTGCCATTGTCACTGCCATCATCACTGCCATCATCACTGCCATCGTCACTGCCATCGTCACTGCCATCGTCATTGTCATCGTCACTGCTGCTGCTACTGCTGACGCTATTGCTGCCATCGTTGCTGCCATCGTTGCTGCCACCGTCATTGCCATCATCGCCACTATTGTCACTTCCATCATCACTGCCATCATCACTGCCGCTGTTGCTGACGCTATCACCATCATCATCGCTAACACTGTTGCTGACACTATTGCTGCCGTCGTCGCTGCTGTTGCTGCCGCTTTTGCTACCGTCATCGTCATCATCATCATCCCCATTATCCTTGTTTTCATTATTGTTGTCTTTATCGTTGTCGTTATTGTTGTTGTTATCGTTGTCGTTGTCGTTGTCCTTATCGTTATCGTTGTCGTTATCGTTATCATTTCCATTACCGTCGCTGTTATCCCCATCACCTCCATTGCTTTCTACCGTGAGATTGCCATTATTGCCGTGGTCATTTGTGCTATCGTCATCGTCATCGCCATCGTCGACACTGCTTTCTTCTTCCAAAAGATAATCAACATCTTTGTCTCCATTGCTTTCTTCATCTGAGATTTCATTTCCATCCTTTTTGCTCTCGCCATCCTCATCATCACTACTTTCTTCTTCCGAGAGATAATCGTCCGCTTTGCTTTCATCGTCATCGTCGTCATCGACGCTGCTGTCGTCTTCCGACATGTTGACATCATCTGTGACATCTTCAACACTATCACCATCTCCGTCTCTTTCTTTCTCTGAGGCATTGTCATCCTTTGATTTGATTGCTCCGTTTCTTTCTAATAACTTAGTAAACAAACCGCTGGCCCAATTGCAATATCTTCGTTCTCCTCCAAACTTGGGAGACGCCAATTGCGAAGAAAGATGCGTGACGATTGTCGCGGTTAGATCAAAGAGCTCGTCTGGGGATTGCCTGTTTTGCATGTTTTCATCTGCAACCATTACGACCCTCTTCGTCAAATCGGTCAATACCTCCCAGTTTTTCTCTCTCGAAGTCATGCTTGGGAATATCTTCACCATCAGCTGGGCAATCATCGACAATGCATTGACCCGAGACGTTATGGAGAACAACGACGGTTGCTTATTGATCATGGTGTTGATCAATGCCACCCATTTGTTGTCGGGGATCTCGGTAATATCGGGAACAAACATGTGGCGTTGGCAAGCTTCAAGTCCCTTCGTGGATATTCGTTTATCGTCGTTGGTGCACATGACAAAGAACCCAACCGAAATACCGTGCCACAATTCGAGATCGGGAACACAGGGGAGTTCGAAGTCGGGATCGGGGCTTGGGTTATTCTTCATATCTATCAGCATGACCTGCACGACGTGATTGTAGAGCTTTTCCACACATACCATGGCTGGAATAGATAATGAGAAGTCTTGCTCGTATTCCCCATAGATATACTTAAGCAAAATTCGCTGAATAGCAGCGCATGTCGTTATAGATAGTGTCTCTTTTTGACGAAGCTCATCTTCGTATTGTAACATGTTGGAAATCGAGGGATCGGGAAGTGTAAACTCAAGAGTTGATGCAATGCCATCAAAAATCAGTCCTCTTCCACGTTGAAAACTTGCTGCTGTATTGAATAAGTCACCAATTAACTTCAAGTCCTTCGGCGAATCGAACGACGAGAAGTATGAACGCCAGATGATAGCTAAACCGCACGCCGTTCTATCAGCAATGTGACCAAGGAAGGGCTTAGGGAATCCTGTTATTAGAGAAAGGGACGTGCAAAGTTGCGGTCGCATCTAAAGTGGAGGAAGGATAAATTTTGATTTTAGACTTCAGATGAGCCGAAGAAGATAAATCAATCTTGATTTCGGCTTTCACATTTCGCAAATTATAAAATCAAACGATAGATTCAGTACTCTACGCCATATAACTTACTTCAGGGATCTTGTACAAATGAATACTGGATCTTACGATGGTCACAATCATTCTTTCCATCAAGAATGGCGCCGGAATTGGACGTTTCAGTCTCTTTACTTTCTCCGCCAGTGATCTAAATTTCGCCAAAAAAATCGGGAAGAGCTCCGGTGCCCGTTCGTCAGATGCCAGAAGGGCTCGTGCTGCAAGTTCTAGAGCGAAGGCCTGGTGCTGTTCATATGTAGGAGAAGGAGTCGGGGGTGCGATATCAATAGATCCGAGCAATCCATTGATGCTCTGCTTCACCAACTGCAGTCGAAGGTGACTCCGAAGAACCATAAACTTTTCGATCTCAGTCCATTCAGCAACTTGCAGAAGAATTCTTGCATTTTTTGAAATCTTCGATGCTCGCCATCGACGAGATTGATACTTTTTCACAGATGTAACAGATTCTTGGCTTTTCCCTCTCCCAAAAACCCCTCGAAGCCATCCTTGATTTGTATTTTCCTTTTTTTCAACCTTGATGCAATATATTTCGTCGAGTCTTTTTTGTGAGTTTCGTGCAAAAAGAGACAAAGGAAGCACATTGCCGGCGCTATCAGCGAAATCATCAAGATCAGACAGACCCGCTGGTAGAGCCCGGGCATCACGGAGGCAACCGAAAACTTCAATCAACTCTGGCCACGCACTTCGAACTCGAGGAAAAAGTGTTCTCACTATTCTAAGCCCCATGTTGAGAGCGAGCAGTCCACGGTAAGCAGCTGCCCCATTGATGTCTACCTTCTTTGTGTCTACGCTTGCAATCTCTCGTGCGCGAAGTAAACCTTGTGGTACAGGCGAGTCGGCGTCCACAATACTCATCGACGCCATCGTGCTCTCATCGTCCGCATGATCAAGACTAATTGGAGCTCCACTTTCGATCCCAGAGTATTCAAGTGTGACACAGCCTATAATGTAATCCCGGCCTTGTGACAACAAAAATGAAATGATATCATTCAAGATATCATCAAAGGAAAAGAACGTGCTTATCTTGGCCATTTGCTCTAATCCTTTAAGTGCCGAAACTATATTTCCGTCATCCCAAGATCGAACGAATGCACTCGAAATGGCACGCAAAGCAGGCTTGGCAATCGCCAAAAACATGTCTCTTTCGTGGACACCTGCTTCAAACATGCTTCTGCGGGCTTCGTCTGCAGTAGTAAATACAGCCACAGCAACATTTTTTCGCAACATGTCTCCCCAAGCTCCCCGAAAGTGTTCTGCGTCCAAAGCATCAGAATGGCTAATAAATTCTCCAATCTCTCGTTGAACTTGGATTTCATTTTCTCTTATATCTGTATATAGCCAAGCAAGCATGGCTTCGGGAAGGTCACCTCCTGCGTTGATACCTCGATTGTTGCGGATAAACTGCTGGCGCGTCATTCTCCTCTTGTTCTTGATGTTTGGGTTGTGTAAATCCGTATTCAGCATAATGGTTGAAAATGCCAGTACGAACACGGCATCTGAATTTTTGAAGACACTCTTCTTCCCTTGTTGTTTGTAGTATTCCTTCGAAAAGGCGTCCATGATTCTATCAATTTGCTGAGCTTCACCAGGTAGTCGGAACTTGTGTAGATACATTCGAAGTGCGTTTGCAAATCGTCCACAATTAGAAAAATCAAAACGTTTGACGAAGGCCAACCTAACTTTGTGATGAAATGGATATTTTTCTTCGGGACCTTTGCACAGGTACGTTCCCAACTTGTCTTTACGTATACCAGGAGCCGTGTACAATGTAAGGGCAACACTCTCGGCAGTTTCCTCCAGTACCTTTGCTTGAATTCCCATATTCATCCAGTCTTTTGAATCTGGATCCTTGTTGAAAACATCGGCAACCCGCGAAAGAGCAGCTTTTCTACGCTTTCTCTCTTGCAGATCTTCTTCCGACATTTCCAGGTCGTCGTCCAAATCCACGGAGGCAGAAGACGAATAAGGAAACCGAGTATTTTTATTGCTACCATCGGCGTGGCTGTTGGTTGTGCTATTATTGCTGTTACTATTGTTGGAACCACCAGGCCCGTTTTGTTGTTGATTGTGGTTCTTACATCGACGAGCAATCGACTCTATGATAGTCAACAAACATTCCATGGCTTGAACACACAAAACGTTCATCGGAACTTCCGATGCGGCCAAGGATGCCTTATAAGCGATGGCAAAAGCACTTCTTCGACTTAAAAGGCTGGTGCTGTTGACTCTGCCTGCCGTGTCTTCCTGTGTAGTTCGATGGCCAAGTGGTGCTGTTACATTTGCCAATGTATTACAAATCGACGCATACAAGTTGGTACACTGGACATCGCAGTCATAGTTCAGATAAAGGTCTTTAACTAGGGCCGGTTCTCGGCAAAACTCCAAGAGCGATTCTAGGGCTACCTCGCGCTCCTCGGGGATGGCAGAGTGCTCCAAAATGCGCAAATGGACACTCGTCAGAAAGACTTCAAGAGGAACCTTCAAATGGTTCCGAATCGTCTGGAAAAGGTTGAAAATGACCCGCATTGTCAGGCTGAGGATTAGCAAATCATGGGTCGTGCTCCAACTCAGCAAATACTTGCACAGATCTTTCTTCAAAATGCCTATCTCTTTCTTGGTGAGTTTTTCTGGCGTCAGTGTTTCCAAAGCAAAATTGACAAGGGTCAAGGAGTTTACCACATAGGCATTGGAATTGTGCTTAGGGTTCAAAAGACTCGCAAGTTTTGCCAGTATATCTTGCCTCTTCTTTGCCAGATTAGGTTTTGAAAATACCTCCAACACAATTTGTTTCATGGCATCAGACGCCGCGCTCTTGAGCAACCAACTTGCTCGTTTGGCTCGATGAGAAACATGCAAACAGATGTCGAGCAATCCCACTACGATGTCCGGTTTCAATTCGATCGAGGCACTTCGAACAATTAAGGCCGACAGTTCCAATAGTCGTAAGACGACCTGTTCATCATCTTCCCGGCCCGAGTTTTTCGAGGATATGGCAGAACCGCTGCTGGCGAATCGCCCCTGCGAACGAGCTACCCCATCGCCTTGGTTGACACCACGTTCATGGTTTGCAGAGGCGAAGGAGGAGGATTCTTCAAAGGTACACAACAATAGAGTGTTCGCAATTGTCGAAAAGGCATTGGGTCCCTCATTAGCCAGAAACCCGTAGAGTAAAAACTTTTGAAGGGATTGCAGGGCTGCCCCGGTAACCTTGGCGGAAATATCTCGCGATTGAATCGCCACACAAAAGGGAGGAAGGTAGAGCCGAGCTTCTGGATGATGGCGTTGGGAGCTTCCGCCATACCGCAATTCCCAATCTGTCATGGAATGATGCAATTCGCTGAAGCGCTCAAAGAGTGGATGCAGCTCATCGGTTGGCATTTCCTCCAAGAATCGTAATGGACTGGCACATTGTGGATCAGTGCGCATAATATTGAGGACGTTGTGAATCTCACCCTTGATAACCTTGCACACATTTCTGGAGCGGAAGGAAAGGCCCGCTGTGTCTTCTATGCTCACTGTGTCCGCGATTGTGCTGTTGCTGGAAAGTTGGTTATTGGTACCTCGCATTCGCCCATGCCCATTCATATTGCTTCGGGGATTTGTGTTTTTGCGGTGATCATTGTCGGCCTGATAACCATCGCCAATGCTACCGCTGACCTCGTTGCCGCCATCGCCACCGATGTTGATATCATTTTGTACTTCTTCTGATGATATGATTTCTAATGGAACGCCATCTTCTCCCGCAGTGGTGGCATGGGTTGGTGCTCCATCGATAGCGACTTGGACTTCCATCGGAATTTGGTCCGTAGTAGGCACGACATCGGGAATGGAATCACCAGTGATTGTTTTCTTCCCTTCAGCTTCATCAGTCTCGGCATGCTTCGTTGGTTCTTCTGTGACGCTGCCTTCTCCCATTTCCGTGTTCGGGGCAACGACCATTGCAATAGGCGAGGATTCTTTGCTCTCGGTAAGATTATCGCCTACAGGAGGACTCGTGGTCTCGATTTCTCCTTTTTGCTTTATCGTCGGCGACATCTCAACTGTTTATATTATATTCTACAGTCTTGCCAATCCTTGTTAGATTCCAAGCAAGGCGTATAGGTCGCAGATACCCTGAGTAAAGAGAGAACAATGCTTGAAAAACTTTGATCTCAAGTCTAACGCTGCTTTTGTCTGTTAGTTTGGTCTATTGCAGAACCGTACGGTACCGGGCTGCACGTAATATATCGCGAGAGGCGATCACCGCTCTCGGAAATCAAAAAGACTGAGAGAACGGTCTTTATTTTGTACGTTTTGCTGGCAATTCTATCGTACGGGTTAAACTTAGTGCTGAAAACTAGTTCGGTCATTTCCAAATCGCAACTGAAGCTCAATCCTGGGGATCTTCGATCGGACATTCAATGTCCGTTTTCTGGAAAAATAATATGACTCTGTGACTTTTCTCCGGAAATGTCTGTGTTCGCGCGCGGGGTTTTGTTTTGAATATAGTACAGTACAGTTCGTACTTCAATGGAAAGCGTAACTCGAATCTGAGTTGCATGCGTTGCGAACGGATGCGTGAGGCGTAGATAAACTCCACAACAAATTGCTGCCTTGAAGCGACACGAGGTTGTGCATAATTGAACAATAGAACCACTTAGTCGAATACAGTAACATTCCGTACTGAGATGGAGGAAGTGCGCGAATACTGTAGTTCTAACGTACGAAGATCGAGTAGTATGTAAGTACTTTCTCTCGGTAGGAGTTTATTGTGTTACGAGCCTTTCGCACTGTTTTTTTTAATTGGATCCAGACGGTACCAGGTCTGACATGATTACAATTTCTAAACGGGGACAACAACTATGAGAAGAAGAATACACTCAATTCACAACAATTAACAACAATTAACACTCGCACCTTGAATCTTTCTACGAACAGACAAAAATGAAAAATTTACTCTGTAGTGAAGTACGTACTGTATTACCTACCGTACAATTTTAGTTTCTGATGTGTTCAACTGATTAATTGTTTGTTGCTCTGAAGTGAAGCAGCAGAATAACGTCAGATAAAGACCTACTACTAGTAGTACCTCTGTTCCAAATTAATGATACAGTTTGCCCTACACTTTTTTTCAGAATACCATGGGAAGTAATGGTACAGTATGCTATGACCCTTTGTTAGAATGGGTTCTTCTTCTTCTTCTTCTTCTTCTTCTTCTTCTTCTTCTTCTTGTTGTTGGTGGTGAAATTACTGGCAGCCAGACAACAAGAAGAAGGATCTCTCCTCACATGTAAAAGTTTATCTTCTTCTTTACATGCATCCCTGGTGCCTGTGAATGACACCAGACTTTAATTCTAAGCTCCAGAAAGAGACATTTGGATAGGTGATAAGAACAACAACAAATTTTTGCTGCTGATATCGTACTATGTGACATAGACATGACTCCCTGATCTACACACCAGCAGCAGTTGTCCCTTTTAGGCCCTTATTTTGCTTGTAATGACTACTTTGACAAAAAAAACTGGTTGTACCCCAGTTTACAGCCAGACACATGTTGAATTTTATACCCACCAGTCTTGTAGCCAAATAGTTTTGAGTGCACGTGCTAATGCTGTACTGTACTGCTACTACTACTAGTACTACTAGTACAAGTCAAATTTTTAATCCCAAGAGTCGTTACAGAGCAAAAAGAGGGCCAAATTGACAAACAGCAGTACAACCTAGTAGAGCATTAACTAAGGGTCAACTTACTCTAACAGCTATATCTTGTTTGCTTGTGCGAGTACTAGAAGCACTTTTTGGATAATTTTATAAACCATTGCTCCTCATCATACAATTTCCCATATTCTTGTATTTCTGATACCACCACCAGATATTGAATCCTTCAGGATAACTCAAAGGATAGAAAGGTTCCTATGCAGTGGTTGGCCACCAATGGTCCTTGTATCCTCCCTTGCCATTACATAACAAGTGTTGTCCATTCATTCTAGCTTTTCCTTTGTCTCCTAGTAGTGCAGCAGCTCATATGATGCTATTTCCATCATTACTACTATCATACAGGCATGGCTACTCAAAAAACATGATCCAGCAGTCATACATTTCCAATCCTACATTTGTACACATATATTGATATATTCCATTACCAAGACTGCAAAGAAGACCCTGGCTCCCCCATATGACTAGAATCCTGTTTAAATTTGCTTTCAATTCATGTGCCTACCATACTTCAACAATTCATAGTAAGAACTTGAAGAGTAATTTGGCACAGCTATTGTGCATGGGTTGAGTTCTCCTCCATCATTATTATATTACTAGTATAATTCTTACATACTATGAGGAGTTTCAAAACAATTGCACACTGTCTTGCCCAGCGCGCAAATAGCTAGTTTAAATTTGAAGGCAGCAGCATAAGAAAGAACTTCAATTTGAAGAAGTTATGAACTTTTGCTCATACATCATGTACCAGGTTCTACTGAGCTGTTTCTTGGAAATGACTGAATGGCTGGATCAATTATCCTCAAAGCATACAAAAAAATTGTTTGGGGTCATTCAATCATGATGAGGAGGAATCCGGCCTTTCTTGTTCAATCATGATGAATGCCATTCAGCAAAAGAAACTACTAGCTCAGTACTAGAACACAGTAGAATTTCTACTACTATGACATTTGAAGTTCTTGAATTCAAATACTAGAAGAACTTTTTAACTTCAAATTACAACTTTTTGGGCACTGGGCTAGACAGTGTGCAATTGTTACGAAACTCGTAGTAGTAGTTCCAACAGTCAACAGTCCTCCTTCATGTGTTCCAACAGGAATTGTGGAATCGTTGTGGTAAGAGCCCCGTTGTGGTGGTCTGTCCAGTTTGTCTTGGCTTGCAAGTTACGGACATTCTTCGATTTTGTTTGAATCCAACCCCTACCAGTAGTACTTGTACCCGTACCTACTAGAGCTACTAAGCACGGGCCCAATAATGGCAAGTTATAGGCAATCCCCGTAGTACAAATAGTACTAATAGAAATTTTTAGCTCATTTTTACAGTTAAAACCAGTTAAAAAAGGCATCCAATGGACGAAAATAAAAATATTTCAATTGTTTAATTTCTCGCTAGTCCCAAAATATTTCTATTGGTGGTCCTTAATATTCGAGATAAGCACTGATTTGATATTCCCACTAGTAAGGACCAGGAATAGAAATATTTTTGGACAAGTTTTTTGTGTGGATGGGGGGAGAGGGGAAATAGAGACGGGAAAATGAGAAAAAATTGACGTACCGGTACGGAAATTGCCAATAACTTGCCGTCATGGGGCCCGTACTTAGTAGCTCTAGTAGTACTCTTAATACTCTCAGTCAAGCGAATCAACGAGCAGAATTTCTTAAGGAAGAAAGGTCAGAATGACAGACCCCAATTCACACACCAACCATACTAGAGTAACAACGAACGACAGAAGAACGCATGCATGCATGCGCAAGAAAACATCATCAAAAACATCATTCCGGAGTCCAGTAAATCCATCAAAATCTGTCTACGACGTTCTCCCGATGAGTGATCGGTAGGTGGTAACCCAAGAGACAAGGGAATCTACCATTGCTCAACGCTCCTGTATCTATCCGCATGCATAGTGAATGCATTCATAGTAATTCCAAGACTTACGAGTAGCACAACTGCCGGAACAAACTAGACAGGAACAGGTATTCCTAAGATGAAAACATCAACGTCATCATGGTCGTTCCTGACCATGATATCAATCACGGCAATCGCGTTTTCTAGCATCATCGATGGATTCTGCGTCGTGGCGTTCAAGGCCCAAATACCCCTTCGTCCCAACAGCAGAGCTGGTGTCGTTGTAAACCGCGCCTCTCAAAGCAATATTAATCTGCTCACAAATGTTTGTGACACTGACAGCAGTAATCGCCATGTTCGCTGCGCCGTCCGTCACACCAGGCACTCCAGTCGCGGATTGCCCCTCGCAGCTGCTGCCTCATCGGACGACGGACCAGCCAAAAAGAAGAAACGCAAAACGAAGACTAAGACAAAAGCTGCGACCAAAAAGAAACGCAAAACCAAGGCTAAAGCGAAATCCAAAGCAAAAGCGAAGGAAAAAATGGTTGTAGCCAAAAAGAAGGAAACTGCCGCCGAACCCGTTGCTGCTGCTAAAACAGAAATAATCGAGGCATCTCCACTGGATGATGAGGAGGTGAAGACGGTTCACATTTCTGACATGCCTGTAGTGGTAGTCCGTGACAGTGACAATGCTATCGTAGATACTGACGAACCTTATGTCGGACCCCGTCCCAAACTTCCCGATGCATTCCAATTCGATCTGACCGGTGGTCGACCCGGAACGATCATCGAATCTGAGGCTGAGTTAGAAGAAAAAGATCAAATTATGAAGGAAATGGAAATCAACGATGCCAGCAAAACAGGACGCAAAAAGTATCCCAAATGGTTGAAGAACGATTATGGATTTTTGCAAGAGGACGAAGATGCGGAGTACGACAACGACGATCCCGATGCTATCGATGGATCGACTTTAGGTGACTACGATATTACAGACTTGAACACCAAGTTCGATTGGGAATGGGATCCTAAAACTGATGAAGATCCTAATCTCCTAGAGACACAAATTAAGAACGATATCCTTCCAACTGGTAGGTATCTCGCCGAAACAGAAAAGGATGAAGAAGGGATCGAAGTTGGTTTCGATTCGTTGTTTGGAGTCTCCAATCCCATTGATGAACGAACCAAAATTGGAACAATAGACAGTTATATGGTTGATGAGAACACTCGAAACGAGGACATGTTGACACCAGAGTTCCTTCCTGACGATCCCGAAAAAGCCTACAACGAAGAGATTGTTCAGTACCGCAAGTCGATGGATATCATCGAAACGTACCAAGATGAGTTTTTGCCCGAAAACATGCCCGTCCCTCGAAATGTGGCCAAGTGGTATGGTTATCCCGAAGAGTTGTCACTACCGCCAAAGAACTACACAAACAATAGGTTCACGAAAGAGGAAGATCTTACCAACTTCGACGAGATGACTCCGTTCCGCGCCAAACAGAGGGCGGTCGAGTTAGCACGATCCAACAACGCAGAATGGATGCCAGATGGTGTGTCACAAGCTTGGCACCAAGCACAGCGTCAACCTTACGAAGCACAACAAACCCTCGTCGGGACGTTACGTAAGGGGCACTGTGATCCCGAAACCCACGAAATGATCAAGCCCGCCCTTCAGGTTTTGGGGTCTTGTGCTGAGTTACTGAGCATCGAGGGCGAGGACAACACAATCTTTCGATTCCATTACCACGGACTAATGAAAAACAAATACGGTATGTCATGTTGGACCGAAACTCTTATCCGAGATTGCGGAGTGGATGTGACGGGAGTCGTCTTTGAGACGGGTTTTCGAGCCCGAGATCCGGCATACGACGGCGGATTTCCGTATCACGGATGGGAATAATGAACGAGAAGTGATGACACTAAAAACTACTTGTAGTATCACTCGAAATTCCACAGCTTTGTTTTTGGTTGTCACGATAACACTGTTAGAATTGTTTGGCTTATACTCGTCCAATCCTATCCCTTAATAGGTAGCAAAAGTATGTGAAGGTCTTTTGAATAGCATTGTAGTACACATCACATCTCCTTGTAAAAGAAATTTCCCAAGGAAATCTGACTCATATGAATGAACCATCAGAGCCACCCAACATGCATCTAATACAAAGGAGTCAGTCTCCTATTTTTATTGCTTTCTTAGTATTATGGGAAATAGCTCCCTGACTATGTTCAAGTCTTTTCTGATCTATGATGAAATGAAGATGAAAAAAGTCCATGATGCGCAGGAAAGAGCAATCCAGTTGTTCCTCTGATTTTAGAACTGATGATAAGTCCAAGTTGTACTTTCAGATTGGGAACACTGGGTCCTTGAATCATGTGCTCTTGTTCTGCAACAGCATCTCTCTTCTCTTCTGAATTGAGACAAGGCTCCCTCTTTGCCAACACAGCAAGAAGTGGTGATGTTCTATACCCATGATTTCTTGTAGTAGTTACTGGTAGTCAAAAAGGAGGATGACCTTTCCTTTTTTGTTGAAGTCTTGTCCAAAATCATACAAGACTATTAAACATGGCCTCCTCCAGCAGCTCTTGTTATTCTTGCACWACTTAGTATCTGCTGCTACTAATACTACTACTAGTAGCTACTAGTAATAGTAATTGTAGTAATAGTGCTGATGATAGTATCAGATTTTAATTGTCAGCAATATTATTGATGTCAGATTAAATTAGTAGAGATCTATTTTTACATTTAGGAATGCAAAAAAGAACTCCAGACAGATTCAAAATATTTACCAAAATTCAGGGAAATTCTAAAAAGTGGGGAATTGAAACCAAGCCATCAAAAACTGCTGAAAAATGTCCAAGATTGCTACAGCAGCAGCTTTAATTCAGGAAGACCAGAAGATGCTCCAGAACAAGTTACACAGGAACCTTTGAAAGGAGCAAATCGCTGTCAAACTAGTACAGACAATTTTGTTGACAATATGGATATGACATGTGATCCATGTCAGATTCAGGTCACAGACAAGAGCTATAAATTGATACTTCAGTTGTCACAAATCAAGGTTCCCACAAGTGTGGAAGAACACTGCTGAAAACACCCACAGTCACACCAGATTCAAGTGCAATTGCTCTTCAGAACTCTCATTCAGGTGACTTGGTTTTGTCTGCAGATGGCATCCTGAATCTCAATCAAAACATAAAACAAAATGATCTTTGAAGAAGTGTTTCTTTGTATCAAATTCTACACACAATTTTTGATGTTATCACCCATGAGACTGATCATGCAAACGCTATGAAAAACTTCACATTTACTGGTGGAAGCTTGGAAAATATCAGACAGTATGCAAAGTTCAATTTTCAAAGCGACAAAGACCAAGAAAATGCATTGAGCCAGATTATTGCTGCTTTTGTTTAAAACTTCATGAAAAATCTCTACATTCACCTGAACAATCAATAAAAGACATTCAACGAAGATTAATTGGTAATTGCCACAACAAATACACAGACAATCTCAAGGCAACCATGAACAACAAAGAGCAGTTCATCTGTTTTCTATCAGGAGCTAGGATTGAATGAGTCATGAATGTAGAGTGTGTATGCATCATAGATATGTATCATATGTTGTAGATATGAATCATACCCACAATCTGATATCCTAGGGACAGTAGTAAATCTAAATTGCTAAATATCTAGATTGACTAATGTAGTCAATCTAGTCAAACCAAAAAGTTGCAGACTGCACAATAATTGAGAGTCTTATCTCAGAATTTGGAATCTTATCTATTTCAACAGAAAGACTAAAAAAGACTAAATCGAGGGCGCCAATTTGGCTGGCGCACTTTTGGTACAAGAAGAAAAAATGTGAAATTTTTGTAGCAAAAGTAATACACTGTTTGTTGCTGCACTATTTCTAATATCCTCAATACTACGAGTTTGATAACAATTGCATGCCATCTTGCTCAGAGAGTAAAAAGTAATAATTTGAAGTTCTAAACTTTGGTTTGAAGTCAAGAACTTCAGGTAGAAAGTCTACTAGGTTCTACTGAGCTAGTTTTTCGATGGCATTCATGATTGATTGCCCTGAACCATTTTTTTGTTTTGAGGGGAATTGTGATTTGGTCATTCAGTCATTTCCATCACCATGGGATTGCTTACTGCCTAGTTCATTGAAGTGACGCTTTCTGGTACCAGCAGCCATGTTGGTCATGCCATTGCTGGTGGTGAGTCAAGTGGTCAGATCTACTGCTGGAGGAGGAAATGTGAGACCACTGGCAAATCTGGCAATTGCAGGGACAATTGCAGTCGGAAGAATTGTCTGTGCTACTAAGGTAAGGAGTCCATGGTGCATCTCTTTAGTGGTCTGGTCTCTTCTTTCCTCTCTTCTTTCCCTTGCATCCTCTCTCTTCTGGTGTTCTAACTCTTTCCTTTTTTGTTATTCTCTGTGAAGTTCCAGCTCAATCTTCCTGGTCTCATCACTCTTCCTCTGCTGGGTCTCGAGGAATGCTGTAAACATGGCGCTCGTGTCAGCCTGTGGCTGGGGGGTTCCCTTGTATAGTCAGTTCTTTTTAACAACAGGAGTTCCTACTACTGGCCTGATGACTCAAGGGTTGACGCTGTTGTTGCTGCTCCTGAAGGGACGACTGGCATCAACACAATGACCGATGTTGACAACATCATTGATTGATTGGATCTTGTTGCTCCCAAAACCTTAAGGAGAGTCTCACTTTTAATGAAGCCTTTGTCTAGATCAAAGGCCTCCTCTCCATCACCAAAGTTGGCCCTCTCATTAATTAAGTTGTGTGTGCGTCTGACAAGCTTCACATATCTCTTCATGTTAGGGTTGCCGGTGGAGCTCTTCATCACCATCTTGACCCTGTCGAACTTGTTCTTGATAGAGGTCTTGTTTCTACTATTAAAGGGCCACACTTTTGCAGGCTCATTGACTACAGGTCTGGGCCAATGGGCACTTCATTGGAAATTAGCTCAAAGAGGGACTCAAGCTTGTTGTTGGTACAGTTTGCTGCACCGGCCTTCTGGCCAGCATCCTTCTTGTTGGACGTTTGCACGTTGGATCCATCTTACTAGTAATGTGTATGATATGTGGGATTGGTGATGTATTAGCATTCCCCTCTACCAGGTAGGGATAAATTGTAGTGACTAAGAGCACTGTTCTGGACATTCTATTTGTTTGGCGCCATTCTTAAAATAGTGGAGGAGGTGCTCCCCCTCTCCTCATGGTTCTTTTGTTTAGGATAACTGAGTCTTAATTTCTTTCAATAAAGACTTAATTTTTGACAGGCTTTTCTGTTGAGTCTTTCAATGGACTCGAAAATTTTATTCATGGATTCCATGCCAAATATATACAATTTAGAAAGGGGGTGTGGTCTTCGAGAAAAAATGACTACATTTAGTCAATCTAGATGTCATTTTTTCGTCCGTCCGTCTATCAAATCCAGTCAATCTAGATTAACGGGAATGGCCCAATGCTTCAAGCAACCAATCCATCATCAATCAGTACAGTACATCGCCTCGGAAATACTGGTACCAAAAAGAACCAGGTGTCAAGAAATCGGTGCTACTTCTTAGTACATACATATTCTACCGTACGCAGAGAAACGGGCCAAGTTTTCCAACCGGGATCCCCGCCAGTGCCAACCCAATACTCTAAAGTTTGAACTTCTAACTTCAGTACGTACGCACGTAACCGCCGTTCCTGTACGGTAGGAACGTTACATCAGGTATCTATTTCAATTTTATCACTTCGTCGCTTGGTGTCTCACAATATTGTACATTCGTCTGCTCTGCTATTGCAAATACTGCTTTCATCGTTTAAAGCAAGGATGACACTGATTCCTAGCGAACAGGATCCCTTGTTGGGAAACAAAGAGGTGAAGATTGCTGGAACGGGTGAAGAAAGCGACGATGATCATGATTTCGTGCCCCTAAAGGATAGGGCGTGGTCGTTTAGTCACTCCCGTCGCCAAGTTGCCACAGCAGGAACTTCTCCGGTTCCTGGTAGAAGGAAATCTGTAGCAGTAGAAGCCTCAGTTGAAAACTCAACCAATACACCGGTAGTCCCCGATGGGTCCAGAGGAGGAAAGCATTACATTTTCTGTCTGATTTATGCAGTTGTCAACGTGATCATTGCCGTTCCGAGTCTTTTTGGTTATGCGGCTGTGATCTTCAACCACCCTATATTCAGCAGCCATATGAATGCGTTATCTAAACGTAAGAAAATGCGTGTTGAGTGACACTGACGAAAAATATTCGGTGTTCTTTAAAAATCTGGTACAATTCGAACTCAATGTGTACTCGTTGCATTTTATTTCAGTTCTTATATCGTCATCTTTGGTCCACCAATTGGGATTTTTGATGTTCTCAAGTCTTCCCTTTGCAATAGGTACTGTCCAGGATGCTGGTCTGATTTTCTTGTCCAGCATGGCAAATACAATTGCAAACACGATGATAGACGACGGTAACAACGAAGTCGAAATATTGTCTACAACCTTGGTGATATTGTGTGCCGGAACTGCTAGTTTGGGTCTTGTTCTAGTGGTCATGGGAAAATTCAAACTAGCAGATGCCGTCAGCTTCCTTCCCATGCCCGTCGTAGGTGGTTACCTAGCATATATTGGTTACTTTTGTGTATTAGCTGGTACTTCCCTTTGTATTTCCCAGCCTATGATGGATCCCAAAGACTGGGCACTCCTGTTAGATGTGTCAAATCTGAAGCTGGCTATCCCTGGCCTCATCACGGGATTGGTGCTAACATTGACATGCCGACTTGCAACAAGCTCGGGGACTCTTCCGTTTGTTATGGTCTCGATTCCGGCACTTTTTTACGTGTATTGTTGGGTCTTCGATATTTCTTTGGAAGAAGCACGAGAATTGGGCTTGGTAGGCGAGACATCGCCATCAGTGCCTGTCTCTGATTTGATTCACATTGTTGACTTTTCGAAAGTTCGTTGGGATTTGATTGTAGAAGTCATACCCACCTGGTTCGGAATGGTTTTTGTTGTCTCGTTTGCCTCTTGCCTCGATGTAGCGGCGATTGCCATCGATATGGGACAACCATTGGATACTAATAGGTATGTTGAGCATTTTCTGATAAATGCAATAGGGGTGATTATTTTCTAACCGATTTATACCGTTTCTGAATTCGATATTTTTGCCACCTGTTAGGGAGCTTGCCACAGTGGGGATTTGCAATTTTATGTCCGGGATGACATTAGGATTTACCGGAAGCTATATTTTTTCTCAAACCATTTTCATGTATCGCACCGGTGTCCACGATAGATGCATCGGATTAATGATCATGATAGTATACATGTATATCGTTGTATCTCCGGTCAATATTTTAGAGATAGCACCTCTATTCTTCTTGGGGTCAACTCTGATCTTCATTGGATATGATCTAATGTCAGAATGGTTGTGGGAAGTTCGCCATCAAGTATTTCTTTCTGAGTACTTCATCGTGTGGTTCACGTTCCTTTCTATTCACGCCGTTGGTATAAACTTTGGTATTTTGATCGGCATTCTCATTGCCATATGTGACCAAATATTGACAACCGCAGAATCTACTGGTGTCAACCGAATAAATAAACGCTCTCGAGCTGTTTATACGAAAGGGGACGCGAAACTTATTCATGAAAAGGCTTATTGCAGTTTCTCTCCAAAAATTATATCTTTGGAGGTTATTGGAAACCTTTTCTTTGGTTCATCATTAAGCGTGCTGAATCAGATATACAAAGGAATCGGATTGACGGGAGATGACCAAACAAAAATAGATGTGGAAGATCTTATAGAAGACAGTTCCATGAAATACCCAACAACTCCCCCCAAATTTGTAGTCCTAGACCTCATGGGAGTTACTCATTTGGATGCATCAGCTACAAGAGGCTGTTTTCTTCAGCTAGCAAAGATGGCGGGCAAGAAAGAAATGATCATTTGTGCTTCGGGATTGAGCCCTAGAATTGAATGGATGTTTCGCAAGCACGAAGTTGCTTATGAAACATCCGAAGAAGAAGAAGTTGAACGAGCTGCACTTCTTGCTACCATGGAAACAACGAACAATAATAAACAACTCGAGCGAATGTTGATTTTTCACACAGCCGCAGAAGCGCTCGAATTTTGTGAAACACTTTTCCTTCATGATATGAATGATAGTGCAACAAAATCTCCTCGCAGTTCGCTTAACGAAAGTGTGCTGGAGCAAAGATCTAGAGCTCATACTATCTCGACAATTTTATCGAATTTTATCGGAGCGACTGAACATCAGACCGAGATCTTAGAGAAGCTCATGGATCTTCGATATCATAACGAACTGATATACAATGCTGGGGAGGTAATTTTCACAAGGCGCAGTCATTCTGACGCATTCTATATAGTACTTAATGGCTGTGTTGCAAATAGTACTTCAAGCACTTTTCAGGTTGCCAGAAAGCAGCGATCTGTGGTGTCTGGAGCTGGAAGAGTCGACCAATTGACGAAACGAATAGGAAGTGATCATATCGCTACTTTGTGGCAGAAGGGTGGGGTCTTCGGCTTCAACGACTTTTTGCTTGACAGAAGGAGAACTTTCCAAACTGTCGCAACAGTTGACGATACAAAACTTGCTGTTTTCACTCACTCCGGAATGAATACTATTGCAACTCACGATCCAGAACTATATTCATTGATGCAGCAGGTGCTGTTGCGCGCTAGTACACTAGATTTGGCTAACTGTACATGCCATGATGTGTAAGGTTTCCTTTAAGGAGAAGGGATGAACAAAGGAAAGCTCTTTAATAGAAATAGATGCAATATCAATTCACATACATCGTAACTACACTACAAAATCCGAAATTCTGACGTATATCCGGTTCTGCTCTTATGTATGGAAGTATCTGAACACTTTTATTGTTGTGAATACTTCATACAGTCATTAAATGCCTCTCTCGAACCCTCTTTGGGATCAAACGTCACGAAAGCGTCAGAATGATGTTTGAATATGTTCTAAGAGACATGATGCACAACCAAATCAAGAAAGATTTCATCACCAAGAAAGACTATGCGCATGAGTAGAATTAATGACGCCATCGAGGGCGAAAAATCAGACACTCTCTTTGTTCGCATAGATGGAATAGGTTGCTATTCTGATATAAAATTATTGGTGATAATGGTGTTTACACGTAAATAACTACGCAGGGAAGATGCATAGTTGATGCTTCAGCAAAAAATCATACAATTTGTCCTCAAATTCGCACAAAACAGTGACTTTTTCATACGTGTAGGAAAGTTATAGTTTGTGCCTTCGGTACGTAAAACTAAACCCTGGCGATTGCCATCTGTCGGAACTTTCGTACCTTTCATTGCTTAATCAGCATAGACTTCTTCTGCGTCGTCGTCCGAATCGGAATCATCGTCTTGGTTGCGAGCATTCTTCAATCTATCCTTCTTCATGTCGGCCTCTGACTTAGGCGCAATCGCCTCGTCAGGCTCGTCATCATCGTCCGAATCGTCATCCGAGTCGTCGGAATCATCATCACTGTCGTCCTCGACGTTGGCATTGAGCATTTCTTCAAACAGGGTAGGTTCATCATCAAGTTCGGCGTCGTCGGGATGAACCTTAAATTCGGGCAACACCGAGTTATCAAGAGTCGTCAACTTAATCTTTTGATGTTGATCGAGACCCACATAGGCGTTCGACTTGACAAAAAGATCAAATTCGTACTCGCCTACACGAGGTGCGAGGAATTTAATTTCGTGTTCGACGACTCTCGAAGGATCAACAACCTTTTCAATATGGATAATCTTTCCTTCCTTGGTTCCAAGAATGATCCACCAAGCTTCCTGTTTAGGAAATGGAAAGTACGGTGCATGGATAAGTCCTGCCTTTTCACCCTTTTCAAGATTCTTTCGAGTGAGCATGACATTGACCGTACAAAGATCTCCCTCGTAAACATTGCTGTCTTCATCGTCGTCGACATAAACCTTAGTTTGAACGTCAATGTCGGGGATCATTTTCAGGTAATTCAAGACATCCGACTTTTGTTCTTCCGTAAAGGTAGCCATGCCCTTCTTTTGGTCATCGGGCTGGTCTCTGTATTCGACAATGTTGGCGGCCTTTCCCTTACCCTTTTCGGCATGTTTGACCTCCTCTTCCGTAAAATGGGGCAGTTGCAGTAAAGAAGAATCCTTCACCCACATGGCTTGAGTCAAATATTGTCCAAATTCGATACAGTTCATGGCTGTTTGCATGTGATCTTGGTGCTTGCAGACAGCAATCATGGCGTCGTTCAGGGACGTTGACAGTCGCAACATGCGATTGAGGTCGTCTTGCAATTGCTCAGATTCAATCTGGTCAGATTTCCGCATTAAATGGGCATGCAACAAAACATTACTTTTGACAATAGCAGGAAGGGAATGTTTTGGTTTTTGCATATTGGTTTTGACCAATCCCATGACCTGGCTGACGTCCTTCTTATCTTCCGCGGTTTTCGGGACGTTGTGATTACGGAATTCGGCAGATGCTGCCATGACTTCGGGCAGCCACTTCACGAGGGTGTGTTCGTTCAATGTATTGTGGAACCACGAGTATGTATCGTACATAATGTCCTTTTCACCGAATTTAGACGAGTCCGAATAATAGGTCCAGACACAGAAGGGAATGATTCCAACCATAAAAATCAAGTACACAACCAAGACCAAGTTGCGGTATTGAGTCTGAAGCAAAAAGTTTGGAAGTCCAATACTGACTTCGAGTGATTGCTTTCCGTCGGGGTTTCCGTATTTCTCCCAGTTTTCTCGGGATTCCTCGTTCGTGAGCGATTCGTATGCTTTTGATACCATCATAAACTTGGCTTCAGCTTCTCGATTGCCTGGGTTCTTATCGGGGTGGTACTTCAGTGACAAGGTTCGGTAAGCTTTCTTGATGGTTTTGGTATCCGCACCAGAATCAATCTCCAAAATGTTAAAGGGATCGAAAGAGTTGACGATTCCATCTTCTTTCACACTAAACAACAACCAAAAGAACAAGATGGTACAGGCAATCGTTATCACGAAGTTGTAGAGAAATTTTCGAGACTTGAAAAGTTTGGAGATTCCAGAATCCTTTTTTAGGGCGTCAGCCTTGGCCTTTTCCGCACTGGTTCGCGACACAGCACCGATAGACGCATCATCGGCAAAGAGGACTTTTTTGAAACTTTTCGCGATGTATATCCATGCTAGAAACGTAACAAAACAAAAGTTTGATAGAGGAACACCAAAGATTCAAAAATGGCACGAAGAAAGTGAGTCTCGAGAACACAGCATGAAAGCATTATTCCTTCTCGTGATGAATTTGTTCCTTCAACTCCTCGAGCCCGAAGCAGTGAGCCGCGGCCCAGCGCGAAGATGTGGAAGGACTGGAACCACTTACATGGCACCAAATAAATGGTGATGAAACTCAGGGCAAAAAAGTAAAATGCTGAGTTATCGTACTGTAACATGATGCCCTTATCCTACTGTAATCTGCTTCCCTAACAATGACAACTTGGGAACTACTTCCGATGATTGCAAATGACCCTCTTGTGTAGAGCTACGACGGCTTTCCTATTTGACGATGTACACCGAGAAAGACAGCTCAACGTTGCTTCAGATAGCAATTGTTTGTGAACCCGGGCCCAGTTTCACGCGGTACGAGTTCTCACCAAAACGCCCTTGGCTGAGAAGCGTTCAATCAGCGAGGGACGTACGAGAAAAATTGTTTGACGAATGCTAAACACAAAACGTTGCGGCGTTGCGGCCCCCAAACTTGCAGTTACGAAACGCTATTTCCACGTGTACTAATTTCGAACCAAGTCGTGATGTATCGTACTCGTTGCACTCGTGACTGTAAAAATAGGACTAAGACAGAAGGACTATATAGACCCCTGAGCGGTTTCGGCCGACGATTTTTCTACTGGAGAGCGAAATTCTGGCTGGTTTTTGAGGGTCCCCACACAAACATTCACAAAATTGTTAGGGTCATTTTTACAGTTAAAAAAAAATGTTTCAAATTATTTAATTTCTTGCTGGTCCCTAAATATTTCTATTAGTGGTCCTTACTACTGGAGAGGTAAATTCATCGGTTACTACTTGAGAATTACTATTAGGGCTTGCTACTGGAAAACCTCTATTACTACTTACTACTGGGGATGTTGTAGTAATGAGCACTGCGAGAAGGGAGCAGCACAAACAAAAACCCCTAACACGGCAGTTCGCAGTGCTCATTACTACAACATCCCCAGTAGTAAGTAGTAATAGAGGTTTTCCAGTAGCAAGCCCTACAACATCTGCACGAGATTACGTGTACTCTTAGTAGGTGTTAAGTGTGTATGAAAATTGAATTATAA